ATGGTGACCAGGGGGTGGGGCAACTGTGAAGGAGTGGGGCTACCCGTCAGACCCTTGACATCTCACCGAAACTCGTTAAGCAGCCCACCAGCCAAAATAATTTCCCACCCCTGAGTTATAATTTTGCCAAAGCATCTCTGATCTCTCTACTTCCCCCTTCCCTTCCCACCTCCCACCCCTCAAGTCCTCTGTTCCCTTCCCCAGTTCTTAGTCCACATTGTCTTTGTCATCCTTTTCTCCCGATCATCCTTGTTGCTCACCCTCTCTTTAATACTGTCCTTGTCTTCTTCCTCCTCCTTGTCATTGTCGTCCCCTTTGGGGGTCTTGCTCTTTCAGAGCACCACTGCAAGTCCCTAAAGGTTTCCTCACATGGCACCTCTCTGAGCTACCAGCAAACCAAATAAAATCTCCCCAGACCAAAATGTGTCCCTTCTGGGCTTCATTACAGCATCTCCAAAAGATGCTGCTAACTTAGAGCCACCTAATCCACTTTTATTGCCATATAAATCATTCACACATTTATCATCTAAGGGGGATATAATGTGGGGCCTATTAATCTTTTCCAACTGCAGGCCTCTCAGGCAGGCACTAATCCCAAGATGGATGACTGCATTCACACATAGGAGATGCATGAGGCCAAAAGAGACAGAAACACCAGCCCACTCACTCACGTCTCTGTTTTCAGGCAGCCCATTGTACCAGCCCACAAATGCTCTGGCCGAATAAACCCCAGACAGATTTTCTCCTGGGATGCCAAGGATCCGGTTATCTTCTGCCCCATAGCTCTGCAGAAGTAGAAATAACAACCCCAGTCAAACATGTATCAATACATGCTGGTATGAAAGCAATACACAGGGTAAATCTCCTCCACAGAAGGGCCACTGCCATCTGAGGGAACCACCTGTGGGATGCTGTACTGCTGCCAACCTCCAGGGTATGTCCTGGGCTGGCAGATTCGTATAACAAAGCTTCCAATGCGAGTTTCACGGCCTTTCCCCATGCCTGGGATGTGGAGAACTACCTGGGAGCGTGACACTATGCAAGGCAAAGGTATAGGACAGGGGAGAGGTGGGTTTTCAAGCTGCTCTTTGAGACCATAGGTAATATGAACCTAAAGAGATGGCATATATGCACCTGCCCCCACCCTGTGGCATCCCATCAAAGTTGTCATAAAGCCCGTCACTGACACATTACATCAAAGGAATGCCCAAGCCCCAGCAGGGTTAAGACACACCAGCCTCTATAGCCCACAAGGCTGCCAAAGGGATGGATGTGGCCAGCTTCATGTCCAGCTGCCTCAATTTCCTCAACTCAAATGACCAGGTGTCCATTTATAGCTGGGTTGGCTAGGGCTGGTATTCCACACAAATCTAGAGAGGCTCAAACTCACATC